ACGGGCGGGCTCCGGAGACCGTCGTTTGTCGGGAAACGGTGGAGTTGGGGGCGACAAAATCACTCAGGAAACACGCTTTTAATTTTTTTCTTCGGCTGTGGGGTCAGGCCTTGTGAGGCTTTAGGAAGGCGCCTCTGGGGAGATAAAGTTTTTCCCCGGGATGACGGAATGTTGTGGGCTGGAAGCTGGAAGGGACCCCGCGAGGATCATCCAGCCCCGCTCTTAGAGTGTTTTTCCTGAAGGGTTTTCCAAGTAGCAGAGCTGATGGAAAAGCCTGATTTGGGTTGGAAAAGGGCCTTAAAGCTCATCCAGTTCCATGGGCAGGGACACCTTCTGCTAGCCCAGGTTGCTCCAGGGTGGCCTCGGACACTTCCAGGGATCCAGGGGCAGCCACAGCTTCTCTGGGAATTCCATCCCAGCCCCTCCCCACCCTCACAGAGAGGAATTCCTTCCCAGTATCCCACCTGGCAGTTTAAAACCGTCCCCCCTTGCCCTGTATAAAAAGTCCCTCTCGTTCTGTTCTTTTTTTAAAGTCTCCTTTGGGCCCTGGAAGTAAAATCTGGCACTTTGAGACCTCGAAAGCTTGGCAGGTGCTGCTGCCTCAAATCTTCCACCTCTTTTTGTCCCCAGCTCTGGTGACACCCCGTGCTGAGGGAACCACTTAACCAAGGACTTAACCTGCATTTGGGATTGGCAGTTTTGCTGCACATTGGTTTTATTATTTAATACAGTAAAAACATATATATATATATAATATGCATATGATTTTATTGCACACGTTGCTGTTGGTAGGAAATACTCAGTGATGGCATTTCCCAGAGTGATTAAACTCTGGTGACACTTCAGGTTGGGAGGGGGTGGAAATTAAGGATTAATGAATGTAGGGTTTTTTAATAAAAAAATGGAAGGAGTGGAGCAGTTTAATGTCTGTACAATTTAATGTCTGTACAGTGCACTGGAGTCCCTCCACAGCTGCCCATGGCTCTTTTTTAAGTGCTGTGCCTTCCTGTGATATTTGCTGAGTGGTTGGGGGTTACTGGAAAATTCTCTTTTTTTTTTTAAATAGAGTCTTGGTTGAAGTTTATAACCCCCCAAAATCCATTCCAGAGCATTTAGAAGGCTGTACTCACTCCACACGTTGAAAAAAAACTCCCAGGTCTTTGTGGTAACCCCCAACTCCTCCTAAATCTGTGCTTCTTTGCCTTTTTATTTCTTAGAATGTCGATACTGACACAAAATATTACGTTTTTAAAAAGGGGGGGAGTGTGGATGAGTTCAGCTCCTGAGCAGAAACTCTAAATTCTCCCTGTGTTTAAAGGCAGTTGAGATAAGAAGGAGCTGGAAACATGAACTTGGTGTTTCTTTAGTCTCAGGTCTCTGTCAGAGCTGCCAGTCCACGTGGGAGATGTTGCTGTTCAGCAGCTCCCCAGCTCAGTTCTACATCTGTCCCTCCCCTTCCAGAGCAGGAACATTAATCACTCTGTTAAAATGTGCTGAAGATAAAGTGTGTTTGTTCGGGCTCAGGGTTGTGAGGAGGCAGACTGAGCAGACACAGCGTTGTTTCTGTTCATATCTGTGAAGATTTTGGGGTCGGTGCCTGGAAAGGGGGAGCGAGGAGGACGTTGGGGAAGGGCCAAACGAGGAGGACCTTGGCCCTCCCGAGCCCTGGGGCCGGTCTGTTCCTGCCCCACGGCTTTCCAACCGCTGGGAATGTTCTCTGCTGAAGCTGCAGGCTCTGGGAAAAGGTCCAGCCGCCAGCAAGAGCAAGGATGACCTGGTGGTGGCCGAGGTGGAGATCAACGACGTGCCCCTCACCTGCAGGAACCTGCTGACCCGGGGCCAGACCCAGGACGAGGTAGGAGCGCCCCGGCAGCACCTCTGGGGCTGAAGTTACGTGACATCTTTACCTTCTGAGCCCATAAAATGAACTCAGAGTCAGGTTTGACCCGTGAGGTGGAAGGAACCTGCAGCAGGTTCCGCTCAGTCCTTCCGTTGTGTTTTTGGAGACGCTCGGTTTGTTCCCCAGGAGGTGGTTTGGTGAGCTCAGAGCTGCTCTCCCACCACTTCATTAAGGGCTTTGGGGTTTTTTAATCACCAGCAGAGGCTGAATTGTGGTGTTTGGTGGGTGCTCTGTCAGTGGTTGGTCTCTGACCCCGGGTCTCCATCTCCTTGCAGATCAGTCGCCTGAGCGGAGCCGCCGTGTCCACCCGGGGCAGGTTCATGACTGCAGAGGAGAAAGCAAAAGTGGGACCTGGGTTTGTAGCTCTTTTCTTTGGGGTTCTGATTTTTCTTCTCCTTTGGAGGGGAATTGCTGAGGCTCCTGTTTGGTTTGTCCTCCACGAGCAGTTTTGCTCATCATTTACCACAACTCATAATTTGCCACAAATAACAATTTGTCATAATTCATATTTTTGCCACAATTCATATTTTTGCCACAATTGATAATTTACCTTTTTTCATAATTTGCCATAATTCATATTTTGCCACAATTCATAACTTGCCATTTTTATATTTTGCCTCAATTCATAATTTCCCACTATTCATAATTTGCCATTTTTCATACTTTACCACTTTTCATAATTTACCATTTTCCATAATTTGCTGTAATTCATAATTTGCCATAATTCATGTGTTGCCACAATTCATAATTTGCCACTATTCATAACTTGCCATTTTTCATATTTAGCCAGAATTCGTAATTTCCCACAATTCATAACTTGCCATGGTTCATTTTTTACCACAGTTCATATTTTCCACAAGTCATAATTTACCTTTTTTTCATATTTTACCGTAATTAATTTTTTACCATTTTTCCTATTTTTCCATTTTTTTCTGTTTTTCCATTTGTCATATTTTGCCAGAATTCATTATTTGCCACCATTCATAATTCGACTTTTTAAATAATTTGCCATTTTTCATAATTTGCCATTTTTCATAATTTGCCATTTTTCATAATTTGCCACCATTCATAATTTGCCACCATTCCTAATTTGCCATTTTGATGGTCCTGCCCACACAACTTCTCCCCTACCTGCCTAACATTGTTTGAAATTCCAACCAAACCAATCAATAGGAATAGATCCCACTGTGCTCAACTTCTTCCCACTGGACTCTGCAGCTTCCCAAATCCAAATTTCTCACTGCTTTTAGTTCATTCACCTTCTGTGCACAAAGAAATTCAAGTTTCTGGTGGTGTAAATTTAATAAATCATCACATAAACATATTTTTTCAGTGTTTCCTGAGTGCTGTGATACTCCAGGAACCTGCATTCCCTTATTTGAGTAGATCTTTGTGGCAGCCTTGCTGTAAAGTTACATTGAACCCATAAACTGACCCCATTTTGTGTGTTGTCCATGGGTTTAATGGGATTTTTGACGTTCCCTCCCCAGGGATCGTCCCTTGTATCTCCACGTGCAGGGGCAGACGCGGGAGCTGGTGGACAGTAAGTGCCAAACATTCCTGTTTCCCTGGTTTAGTTGGGACAGAGGGGCTGTGTGAGTGGCCTTGGTGAATATCTTGGGGTTAAACACCGGGAAGGTCTGCCCAGAAATTCCCGAGGTCCCTCCTGCTGCATCCGCAGGAAACCTTGGAGACACCCCGGGGAAGGGGGGGAGAGTGGGTGATCCCCTGGATAACACACCCAGATCCCCCTGGAGCAGGACAGAGGGACAGGAAGGGACCACACTGGGTCACCAGGCAGGATCGTCCCCCTGGCACGTGGGATGTGTCCAGGGGGCTCTGGAATCATCTCCTTGGAGGCAACAATTCCCTGGGAATCCCGGGATGGGGCAGGTCAGGATGGACCTCAGGGGGTCACCCGGTCCCACCTCCCTGCTCAGAATCATCCCAGAGCACGTGGGATGTGTCCAGGGGGCTCTGGAATCATCTCCTTCCACCCCCTTCTCCTGCCCCAGCTCAGCTCTCCCTCAGACCAGGAGCTCCCTGCAGGAGCAGGAGAGATGGAGGCACAATTCCCTGGGAATCCCGGGATGGGGCAGGTCGGGAGGGACCTCAGGGGGTCACCCGGTCCCAGCTCCCTGCTCAGAATCATCCCAGAGCACGTGGGGTGTGTCCAGGTGGCTCTGGAATATCTGCAGGGAGGGACCCTGGGCACTGCCCAGGGAAGTTCTTCCTCGTGCCCAGGTGGAACTCCTGGGCATCAGTTTTGTGTCCTGTTTCTGGGCAGCCCCGAGCAGAGCCTGGTCCATCCCTGCAGGCACTGACAGGCCCTGGGGAGGTCCCCTCTGGGTGTCCCCTGGTCACAGAGATGCTCCAGCCCCTTCAGCATCCTCACAACCTCCCCTGGACCCGCTCCAGGAGCTCCACGGCCCTCCTGTCCTGAGGGGAACTGGCCCCACACTCCAGCTGTGCCCCCCAGGGCTGGGCAGAGGGGCAGGATCACTCCCTGACCTGCTGGGAATTCTCTTCCTGATGCCCCCCAGGACACACAACAGCTCGTTGAGACCCCCAGGGCCTTCCCTGCAGAGCTGCTCCCCAGCCTGTGCCGGTGCCTGGGGTTGTTCCTCCCCAACTGCAGGACCTAAAACGTTGGTGTTCATCCTAAAACGTTGGTGTTTGTCCTAAAACCTTAGACCAGGCTTTGTAGGGTGGGAGTGGCCAGGGAACCCTGATGTTCCACAGGAACAATCCCGAGTTGGAAGGGACGCTCAGGGATCATGGATTGCAACCCCTGGCCCTGCCCAGACCCCAGCAGTCCCCCCTGGCCCTGGGGGTGTTGTCCCAACCCTCCTGGAGCCCTGGCAGCCCTGGGGCCGTGCCCGCTGCCCTGGGGAGCATTCCCAGGGTCTGCCCATCTGGGGGAAGTCCCCTTCCAGAGCTCCAGCTGCTCCCCCGGGATGGCTTGGTGCCATCCTTGGTGGTGCCATCCTTGGTGGTGCCATCCTAGGATCCCATCCCAGGGCCCCCCAGGAAGATGAACCCCTGCTGCCTGTCCCCTTGTCCCAACAACCCCGTTGTGTCCCAGTTTGGGTTGGGCTGGAAAACGGGAACGAATTTCCTTTTGTGTCCCTCAGGAGCCGTGAACAGGATCAAGGAGATCATCACCAACGGGGTGGTGAAAGCAGCCACGGGCTCCAGCCCCACCTTCAACGGGGCCACGGTCACCGTGTACCACCAGCCAGCCCCCATCACCCCCCTGAGCCCGGCCGTGGGGCAGAAACCGCCCTTCCAGTCCGGGGTCAGTGCTGTGGGGTGGGAGTCAGGGAATGGCACTGGGGACAGGGTTGGGAGTCATGGAATGGCAATGGGGTCAGTGTCACGGGGTGGGAGTCAGGGAATGGCACTGGGGACAGGGTGGGAGTCATGGAATGGCACCGGGGACAAGGGTTTGGGAGTCATGGAATGGCTCTGGGGACAGGGTGGGAGTCATGGAATGGCAATGGGGACAAGGGTTGGGAGTCATGGAATGGCTCTGGGGACAAGGGTTGGGATTCATGGAATGGCTCTGGGGACAAGGGTTGGGGTGGGATTCATGGAATGGCTCTGGGGACAAGGTTTGGCTGTTCCATTGGGGTGGGATTCATGGAATGGCAATGGGGACAGGGTTTGGCTGTTCCAAAGTACACGTGTCATGTGCTGGAGGACTAAAGAGACTGAGTCTGGAGAGTGAGACTCAGGGGACAGTGGCCTCCTAAAAGCAAAGGGATGGTGAGAGCAGTCCTGCCCCAGAGCAGCCCAGGGCTCACTGTGCCATCTCACACTGCCCTCTCCTGTCACAGGGCTCCCTGTGCCATCTCACAC